TATTTATTCTATGGATGTTGGGTGTCATTGAAGTAGTAATTAGATCAGGATGATTGGTAGTATTGTTCAAATAAACTGTCTCTCTGGTATTTTTGCCTAGTTTCCTGTCAATTGCTGAGAAAGAGGCTTTTATATCTCTAAGTATGATTGTAGAATTGTTTATTTTGCCCTTTAATTCTGTCAGATTTTGCATCATGCATTTTGAAGCTGTGTTACTGGCATAATCAAATTGTTATTATGCCTTTTGATGAATTAATTCTTTTTATGATTCTGAAATGTTCCTGGTTCTGGCCATATTCTTTAAGTCTACTTTATATGATAATACAGCTACTCCAGCTTTTATAAGCTTAGTGTTTATATAGTGTATCTTTTACCATCCATTTATTTTCAACCCATCAAAGTATAATTCTTGTTGATATCTTACAGTTGGGTCTTGCTTTTTTATCTGTTTTGGCAATCTCTGCCTTTTATTTGGAGTGTTTAGTCCATTAACATTGAATGTAATTATTATTGTGGTAGGTTATAGGTTTGCTATTTTACTATTTGCTGTATGTCTCTCTGTTCAAATTTCTTGCATTGTTTTGCCTTAATATTTTTAAAAAATTCTCTTCAAATTATTTACTAGCTTTTTAACTAACCTCATTGCATTTTGTCTGTATGTGTGATCACTCCAGGCATTACAAATATGCATTCTTACTTCTTCATAGACTATTTAGAGCTAATATTGTATCATGTAATAGACATTGTAGAAATATTACAACCAAATTACCAAATTGGTCCATTTGTAACCTCCTTCATCCTTTATGGTTTGGTGTTATATGAATTACATCTACATATGTTATAAACTCCATAAGACAGAGTTATAATTTTTTTTTCTTTTTAGATGGGTCTAACTAATTTAAATTACTAGGGAAAAGTAGTTTTTTATATTTACCCAATATTTACCATTTCTGATATTCTTCATTCTTTCCTGAAGATTCTTCTGCCCAACTGGTATTCCTGTTCAGTCTAAAGAACTTGCTTTCACGTTTTTCTATATTGTAGGTTGGCTGGCAACATGTTCTCATAGTTTTAGTTTATCTAAGATACAGTTTGCCTTCATTTTTGAAGGATATAATCTTTCTGGATATAGAATACTGGGTTGACAGCTTTTTTTTTTTCTTCTTGAAGTATATATATATCATTGTTTTGCTTTATTTAATGTGTCATTTTTTTGTGACTGCTTTCAAGTTTCCTTTTTCTTATCACTGATTTTCTTCATTCTTGCTCTACCAGAGGTTCCCTGAACTTTCTTGAATCTTTTGAAATTTTGTCTTCCACCAAATTTGGGAAATTATTATGCATAATTTATTTAAATATTTTTTGGTTCTGTTCTTCCTTTTCCCTTTTGGAACTCTAGTTATACGTGTATTGACTTTTTGATATTTAGCCACAAGTCTCTGAGACTGGTTTATTATTTCTCAATCCTTTTATTTTCCGTTCTTCAGATTGGGTTATTTTTATTGATCTATCATGTTCATTCTTTGTTTTGTAATCTCCATTTTGCTTTCAAGACTATCCAATTAATTTAAAATTTTCAGTTAATATATTTTTCATTCTAGGACTTGAGTTTGGTTCCTCTTTATAGTTTCTATTTGACTATATTTTCATTTATATCTTTGAATATAATTTTGATTGCTACTTTAAAGCCCCTGTCTGCTACTTGTAACATTTGAATCAGTTCAGAATTGATCTCTGTCTATTGTATTTTCTCCTGAAAATGGGTCATGTTTTCCTGTTTTTTGGTTTGTGCAATAATTTTGGATTATATCTTAATATAATTCTGCAATTACCATGTTGTAGATACTCTGGGTTGTGTTATTCTTCTAAAAAATACCAGGTTTTTGTTGTTGTTGTTGTTTTTTGTTTGTAGCTCAAATCTTTGGTTATTTTACCCTTAGCTAGCTTTTTTTATTTCCTCTGCAAATGTGCAGTTCACAGGTCAGCCATATATTGGAATTGATTGTATATACAGATTTAGGGCTCCTTCCTGACTCTATCCTTTCCAGGACTCGCCTTTCAGTTTCCAGGGGTTTTGGTTATGTTGCACTTTGTCCACTGCTTCTTCAGGCCTGAAAGACTGAAGATTTTTTGTTTGAGTTTTAGTTGCCTTACATATTGTGGGTTGAGGTCTGCCCTCAGGCCAAAAGTTACTATAAGCAGGTAACTCACTTAGTTCTAGTCTTTTTTCTAAGTGTTAATTCCTTTCCCAAATCAATCTGTTTTTGGTCATTTTCTAGTGCATTTAAGTAGTTATTTATTATATGTTTGTGTGTAGTTATTTATGTAGGAGAATTGGTATTGTAGGAGGTTACTAAGCCAATAGTAGAAGTAGAACTAGATTTTTTTAAGCTAAAATAATTGGAAAATATGGTATGGTGAAGTACAATCTTAATGGTTTTCTTTTTTTTTTTGAGATATTCAGAAAAAGAAGAAACCATGATGTATATCACACACACACACACACACGCACACACACGCACACAAACTGAAAGAACTAGTTTTTCTAACTCCAAAGTCTTCTTAATGAAACATTAGATTAGAATATATTTCCAATATAAGGACAAATAGTTTACCACATGTCAAAAGAAAATTTTGTATAGATTTTTAAAACCTATAGATGCTTATTTCCAAGATGGAGTTCTGTTGTATATTATACATCCAAAGTTTTTCACTTCTGACATATATAGTTTTGATTCAGTTAACATAGCTAAGAAGGTAACTTACAGTGTCAGAGTCCTCAAAACATCAATTTATGATTTTAAAAATTTTTGGTGGATAATTTCCAGTATGATTTCCACTTTCTAGGAAATGTTTCTTTCATGTTTCCTCTTGCTACTGAATAGGCTCTTTGTGAAGCAGGAGGCAGAACCTCTGCTTTGGTGTTTTTTTTTTTTTTTTTTAGATTTTATTTATTTTATTTGAGAGAGAATGAGTGAGAGACAGCATGAGAGAGGAGAAGGTCAGAGGGAGAAGCAGACTCCCCAAGGAGCTGGGAGCCCGATGCGGGACTCGATCCTGGAAGTCCGGGATCATGACCTGAGCCGCTCAACCAACTGAGCCACCCAGGCGCCCTGCTTTGGTTTTACTTTAATCTCTGTGCCAATGGTTTTCCACCTTGCTCTATCTCCTTTATATTTTTTTCTCTTTCTCAGTCTTTAAAAAATTTATCTTTTCATTACTTTTAATTTTTTAACCCTTATGGGTAATAGGAAAGGAAGTTTAGGAATATTTATTATATTATTTGGTTGTTATCTCTTTGCTGCACCTTATAGATTTGCCTACCTCTTATCCTTTCTTCTTAGGACTTGTAAATATTTTCAATATTTTGCTCAATATGAATATGTAGGGAATTTGAAGAAGTAAAAGCAAGGACTCTGTATATTCTCATTCTATTGGGAAGGTCCTGCTTGTTGAATTTTTAGGTATTTCAAGATGTTCCAGTCAACTGACAAGGACTTCTCCTCACAGTGTCAGAACTGTAGTGATGATGAGAGTAATGCAACTAGCAAATAGTTCTGGTATGTAACCACTTTTGCATGTTTACTTCAGCAGAAATCTCTGTGGAGTACAATGGTATCCTATATTCCTTGTTAACATTTGGAAAACCATTTGCATGCTTTTGAAATTGATTTTGAGGTAATGGTGTTAGTCAATAAATAGAGAATATTTTAATCAGATGTGAAATTCTGCAAAGATTAGTATATCTTCTTTTCATAACTCATTTAAATAAAGGGAAAACAAAACGTAAACTTGCATTCTTAGAACTTTCTGAATAATATGATAATTGATTAAACTCAAGGTTTTAGTGTACTTCTTATTGCAAAACCATTATGGTACTCTATGTGTTTTAAGTAAAATACCATTCATAAATATGGGCAATACTTTTTTTTTATATAGCTTATCAGTGGAGACTTACTTGCTTTTTACTTTTCTAAAACTAAATTCTTTAGTTCTTATGTTGTTGTAGATTATAAATAAATATTTTAGAAAATATATATCCAGTTTATAATGTATTTCTTTAGACAGTATGGTTATACTAAATCTTTAGAACAGGGTGATCTGTGGTGTGGGTTCTTCTCAATAGATTGTCAGTTAATTCTTTTGGACTGGATGAGGATAAAGAAAGTATGTTCTCTGCCATTTTACCATAGCTTGCTCTTGTACTTATACAAATGGTGAGATGGTTATTGTTATGAGATTGGATACATTGCTTCTTTATAATGTTAATTTTTAGATTTAGTGATGGTACTTAAAGATACTTTGATTTATACTTGGGAAAAGTTTGTGTTTATTATGCTATATGTTATAAATAGTTTATTGTTACTTATGATTTTGAATAGCACCCTACTTTTTTGGGTCATTTTATTGTGTAGAATATTCTGCATTATCCAGTAGTATATAGATTTCAAAACTCAAAATATTCAGTACATTATCAAGGGAGATTAAGGAACAGAACACAATCCAGTGAAGTCATTGTTGTAATACATTGCTTTGAAAATGTTATTTTCTGTTTTTTAAAGGATACTAGATTTATTTGAATATTCTTTTTTCTGCTATCAATGTTTGTTTGTATATATAACACCTAAGTCATCTATCACTGTGTCTCAAAGAAGGATAGCTATATTTCAGAGGACTTTTTTGGTAATTAATGTAAACAGGCTTATTATATAGATGCAAGGACTTAACACAAAAATGAAAAACTAATGATCACCCAGGGTCATAGGTTCCATGGTAGACTTGTAACTAAAGTTCAGTTTTGTTTTCTAACCTTGTAATTTAATCCATACCAAGTATTATTTTCTGTGTGGATAACTTTGGTCCATTAACCTACAAAAATTTATAAATAAACTTTGATATTCTTATACATTATAAATCTTCTGGTATTTTTTTATTGTAATAAAAAAGAAATCATGCTATAGTAACTAATTCTTGACCTAAACCCTATCTTTCCCCTTTAGAAAAGTTGGAAGCTGCACCACCCACCCCAGGACAGCTGAGATACGGTAATAGTTCTATAATTGTTAAATATTTGTACATCTGTCTTTTAGACATAAAAATATGGTATCATTTCTATTAATATAGAAGAGTGAGTAAATTTAATTTTTCCAGATAGAGTGGGTTATCTTATTTATCATGCTGACACAAAAAGTTTATAAGCTTGGTTTATAACATATTACAATATTATGGAATTTCTAATATTGTTAATAGTATCTAACATTGTTAAACTGTTGTCACCATCTAGAACTAAAAGTATACTTATGGTTAGGTTTTCTTAATTCCCAGAAAAAAGAATATATTTACTTTTTTTTGGATTTAAGTAGGGTAATTTCATAACTAGAAAGTCTGAGCTAGGTAGAACTGTTCTCTGGTGGAGAAAATACTTACAGCTTGCTGTTTGTGATGATGAGGAAAGTTAAGTTCATTTAAAACCACCACGAAGAAGAAGCTTATAGTGGTGCTGGTGTACTTTCTTTACTCTGTTAAGATAGGAATAAATAGTCAAGGCTAACACGGGCATAATGTAAAACAGTTTGGGGTCTTATTATAAAGACAACAAAAGAAGAGAATATTTTAACAGTACAGTGAATTCAACTAGGTTGTAGGTGAAAGCTAAATACTAGATGTGATTTGCTGTTAGAGAGTAGTATTTCCCAAAGGAAATTGAAGAAATCACAAATTAATAGGAGATCATTAGATACTGGAGAGCAAATTTACAAGATTTTTTAAAACTTAATTAAGTACCCAGTTCACAAATTAATAGGAGATCATTAGATACTGGAGAGCAAATTTACAAGATTTTTTAAAATTTAATTAACTACCCAGTTCTTTTTTCTCCAAGAGGTAGAGTATAATTTATATTAGAAATAATAACTTTGGGACACCTGGGTGGCTCAGTTGGTTGAGCAGCTGCCTTCGGCTCAGGTCATGATCCCAGCGTCCTGGGATCGAGTCCCACATTGGGCTCCTTGTTCTGTGGGGAGCCTGCTTCTCCCTCTTCCTCTGCCTGCCACTCTGTCTGCCTGTGCTCGCTCTCTCTCTCTCTCTCTCTCTGACAAATAAATAAATAAAATCTTTTAAAAAAATGATTAAAAAAAAAAAGAAATAATAACTTTTCCCAAATACGTTTAAGAATTCTTTAAGACTTTTCTTCTCCTGATAGTTTTTCCTGATCCTCCTAGCCTAGGTTCATGCAAATTCATGTTCATAACAATGGATAGTACTATTATCAGTTTTTTGGTTCTATTGAAATTAACTGTTGATATGGTATGTTATCATACCCAAACTTCTTGAGGGTTGGTAACCAAGTCTTACATATCTTTATATCTAATGCCCGATGGAATGTCCGGTACATGTTTAACAATTTGAAAATTGTATTTTTTCCTTTGTGTTGATAATAAATTTTTTACTTAGAGGACAAATTTATTTAGGTCTAAGCATAAACGCATGATATATTTTATTCTTTAAAGTTACTTATTATAAAAGTTTGAATGTCTAATAGTTAAGCAACTAGACTTGGGCAAAATCAAAGAACTCAGACTAGACTCTTTTTTTTTTAAGATTTTATTTATTTATTTATTTATTTATTTATTTATTTGACAGAGAGAGAGAGAGAGATCACAAGTAGACAAGAGAGACAGGCAGAGAGAGAGAGGGGGAAGCAGGCTCCCCATTGAGCAGAGAGCCCTATGCGGGGCTCGATCCTAGGACCCCAAGACCAAGACCTGAGCTGAAGGCAGAGGCTTAACCCATTGGGCCACCCAGGTGCCCCAAGACTAGACTCTTTAATTGAAAAATCCCATTTCATTAATCTGCTATTTGATTTTTACCATCTTTAATAGTTTTTAAAATAATACCTTTTAAAAATGATCTTCTTTATAATTAAAAAGATGGTACTTTTTATCTTGAACATTCTTATTTGATAACAAGAAGAAATCTGAAATGACCTAGGATATATATACCCTTTTCCTGTGATCTTAGTCTTCAGTAGTGGTTTTGGGTAGAGTGTTTTTTTTTTGTTTTTTTTTACTGCTTATTAGCCTTTCCTGGGTTGGCGCAGGACTCGCTAGAGTAATGTCAAACTTCAATAACTTCTGGATTATATTTTAATTAACACTTGGACTTAACTGCATTAAAAAGAAAAACATTCTAAAGTCACTGAACACACACAACCAATTCACTTAACGAACTATTTGCTGGATATGTTATAAAACTCACAAGTTTGATGTTTATCTAAAAAAGTCATCAGTTGAATTGATGTTGGCTATATCTTGGCAATTTTATAGATGAATCAGAATAAAGTCTTTTAACTCTCCCAGCTTTTAATCTGTTTCACAGTCTACTTTCAATTCTGTTAATATGGAATTCTCTTCCTTTCCAGGTTAGTGGTCCTCAACTTAATTAACTAATGTTCATTAAGTGTCTGCAATGCACTATGCATTCTGCAATGTGCTGAAGATGCAAATATGAAAAAAGTGAGGCTGAATGTTTAAAAAATATATAGATATTAGTTCTTCCTAGTTACACTTTTATTATGTCAGGTCATTCAGATTCTGTATTAGATAGATAAGATAAGGTATGCCTTTGTTAGGAAGAGGCCAAATTACATTTTGATTTAAATCAAATAGTTTGTGAAAGCTTTCAGGGATACCGATATTGTGAGGGGGGAAAAGACTGCATATAGATGGTGAATATAAATGAGATGATCACATTTTTCTCACGTTTGTTCAAAAATTGTTTAGTGAGTAAAAGTGACCATTTAGCTTCCCTAGAATTTGATTCAGGGTATTTTTTATTATTTCTAACATGGATATTAATTTTATGATATCAGTTTTTAGGTATAAGAAACATTGATATCAATAGCAATTAAACAGGTAAAACATGGTACTTGTAATGTGTATTTACTTATTTGTTCTGCTGTTAACTGTAGTTCTTTGTATGTGTAGCTAGTAAGAAAACAACCCAGAAATCTAACACAGTTATTTTTACATGTTACATGTTTTTAAATTTTGTTTTGTTTCCCTAGTGTAGCTTCTAGGAAGTAATTAAGCTTATAGCAGGAGTAGAATCTTTTGGCTATGGGGAATTAAAAGCAAATTTCAAAGGTTGTCAAATCTGTTTAGGAGACTTTAATCATATGGTCTGTGTTCTCATTTAAAATTATAGAAATCCTAAAATATATTTTCTGTGTTTGATGTTTTTCAGTATTCATCCACAATGCGATACCTTTCATAGGGTTTGGCTTTTTGGATAATGCAATAATGATTGTTGCAGTAAGTTCTTTCTTTTACCCTTCTATTTTGAGTTAATAAAGCAATTAGTGTAGTCGAAATTTTCCTAATAATTTATATATCCTGGCTATAAGATTTTAATTAACATCATAATGAACAAGGCTACTTTTTACTATATTTCATGTTAATTAGAATATCATTCAGTTTTAAGGCATTACATGTATTAATCATTAAGACTTTTGGCAAACCATTGACCATAATAAATACATAGTTATTAGGTCAATATTATTCTGTTTTAGTTTAAACATTCTTATTAAAGGAAAAAGTATATGAAATTTTCTGATGTTCTTTAACTTTATTGACAGTTCTCATCACATATATGTTATTTGGTTAGTTCCTTGTTTAGTTTTCCCATGGAGAATTGTCCTAAAGGGTGTTTTGATGTAGTTTATTTGACCCAAAGGTATTTTAAATTTTAGTTGAGAATACTGGGTATATCTCATTTTTGTCTTTGTTCCATTGTAGTGTTAAAAAAAAGTTCCCCTTTGCTGTGGTTATTTTAATGTAAGTGTGTTCCTTAAGAGTGTTTAGTCTCTGAGAAGGCTTCTTTACCTTTCCTACCATTGAGTGATACATTTTGTTAATGAATACCAATATTGGTCCAATTTCGAAAGTCAGAGATGAATCTGTGGATTAAAATGCAAGTCTTCTAAAACTGCCCAGTACTCTATCCACTCTCTTCATTGACTCTAACTTGAAAAAAATGATGTAAATGGTAGTTGTTGTGCAGGAGACTGCTTTAAAAAAAAAAATGATTTGGGGATCATTGTGAGAAAAATACATATGAGAGCAAGGGTTTTTTTTTTGTTTTTTCTTTTGGTTTTCTTTAGTGTCTTGGAGGTCATGTGTACTACAGATGGATGTAAATAGAACATTTGATTTCAAAACAGTAAAATTACACTAAAAGTAAAATTTACATTGTGTAGATTATAAAATTTGCTTAAAGAATATCTAAAATTCTTAAAAGAATATCTGAAAAGAATTTTTTTTTTGCTATTATATAGTCTCATCTTATATCCAGATTAACGATGCTTAGCTATCCAGAAAGTCTGGCTGCTCACTTGTGTTCATATAGTAGGAAGGTATCTTGCTGCCTAAATATTCACAGCAGGTACTCTAGCGTGCACACAGCTTGAATGTGGAAGCACCCATTGTGTAGTTCTTTAGCAAAGGAGCCTGGCAAGAGCCTCTAAAATATAATTTCAGAATGCCAGTTTTTTGACTGATCATGACATTTTTCCTAATATATATATAAGAATTGGCCAATTTATGTATCTGTGAATATGAGAATATATCTGTGAATATTAAGCAACTTAGAACCACACTGCTTTCAATGAAATTACTAAAATTTGAGTTGGTTAGATTATTTAAATAGTTATTAAATAATAAAGCATATCTAATTATAATGGAAACCCCATTATGATGAATTTATAAGCTGTAGGTAAGACTTGATGTGTTCTTAAACAGATTGGCTGAATTGAAGTTTCTCTGTGACAAATACTTCTTTTGGTTTTATACAATTCAGTATTTCAGTTTGTCTTAATTGACAGCTGGTATCCATATTACTGCCTTCATTTTCATTTGTTTTTTTCCATCTCAATAAGGCAGACCTTAGTCAAATACTAAAAAAACTATCCTTGCTACAAGGAAGTATTGAGATGATATATTTTGCATAAAGAAGGGTGAATAGAGATTTTGAAGAGAGATCAGAATAAGGAAACTGGGTAACTTCATAGATCCTGCATTTCACAGTGTGTTATTATTTATTTGAAATAAATATCTAAAGTAACAGATAATCTGCATCTAAATACAGCTACGAACAAAGTGAGACACACACACTCTAGAGTCAAATTATTGTAATGTGGTTTACTGTTTTCTGTTACTCAGGCCTGTGTCTCACAGTATAACCAAGAGTGAACTATTTTTTCAGGTCTGAGATGGTTGACTCCGAGTTAATAACACTTGTTCTTGAAGTTTACACTGAAATCCAGTTGCAGGGACATAATACCAGTTTTTACTTATATAATATTGAAATAAATTTTTAAACCACTGGCTTCAATACCTGAGTAAGAGCAGTTGTGTGGCAAAATTGTTATTCAGTGATAATTGCAAACCAGTTCAGGGACAGTGAAATTTCCCAAAGAGGTTTTATAATAAATAGACTGCTAAAACTAAAATACATAAGTAATACAACTCTAGAATCTATACATAGGAAAATAAGTAGTCATTATCTTAAGAATGTTTTTCACCTTTCAATTATTTGAAAACACTGATTTCCTCCTAACATTATGGGACAGCTATGACTGTTTTAAGATAGTAAGTTAAGGAAATATTTGATTCTTCTTTTCTATCATGTCATTGACATTTGATGTTTTCCTCTTCCCTGTTGTACTCTCTTGGTTGCTATCCTAAGTTGTAGTCACCAAAACAAATTCCTGTGTAACTTCCTGTAATAGACTGACCTTTATTGTTGGCTGCTGTTCATACTCAGCCTTTGGTTTCATAGTTTATTATATTTTTATATTACTAGGATTGCTTTTTATGACATTTTAGTGGGGTTTTGGATTATGTTTCTTAAAATTTAGTTAGAATAGGATTTATTAGAATTCTAGAGTAGTTTAATTGTACTCAGGTGATGAACCAGATATAAATTTAAGATAACTAGTATTAAATGTACAAAATAAAACTTGATGTAACTGTGGGAAAAAGTAAAGACTGGTAGTCCCTTGTCCTCAAACTGTCTTTGATTTTATTTGAAGCTTTTATGTTATTAGAAGGTCCTTCAGGTTTCTTAAATTCAACTAAATGATTAAGCACCTAAGTACTTTTTAAGCACATGTATTGCAAGCAGATTTATGCTGGGGCACTCCTAGTGATAGTGATTCATTGCTGCTAAAGATGGTATATTTATTTTTTATATACTGTACATGTTAGGTACCTTCGTTCTATATAAGTGCTCCAGTTTTTTGTGGAGTGTTTTGTGTGGGGTTTCTTTTTTTCCCCATCTATATATAAAGATACACATCTTTATTCCTTACGCATGTTTTGTTCTTTTTTTCTTGGGGATGTGGTTCCTTCACAACCTTCCTTGTGATTTTAAATACCTGGGAGACTTTTATGCATCAGGCTATTCTCTCCGTATCCAGCAAGAATTTTATTTTATTTTTTTTAAGATTTTATTTATTTGTTTTGAGAGAGAGAGAGAGAGCACACACACAAGCAGGTAGAGTAGCAGGCAGAGGGAGAGGGAGAACCAGGCTCCCCACTGAACAGAGGGCCCAATGTGGGACTCAATCCCAGGGTCCTGGAATCACGACTCCAGTTAAGGCAGCCGCCTGACTGAGCCACCCAGGTGCCCCAAGAATTGTGTTTTAAAGAGATGGAACCAAAAGACCTAGATGAGAGGAAAATGAGGAAACTTAACTCAGCTTCTCTTCAGTTTTATAAATAATTGAGTAATGCAATATTTCTATATACCGCATAGGACATTCCTTTTTTGTTCTCCATAAGTATCATTGTGATTTTAAAATTTATTTAGAAATTTTCAAGCATCAGTATTCAGGAGGAAAATTAAGTCTACTTATGGCAGCATTGGCTAAGCATTAGAGCTCAGTTAGCACAATAGATCATAGGATTTCTTCTTTATTCTGTGTAGTAACCCATTAGAATAGTTTAATCTTCTTCATTTCAATTCCTTCTCTTTATTTTTTTTAAGATTATTTATTTATTTGTTTGATAGAGATTACAAGTAGGCAGAGAGGCAGGCGGGCGGGGCGGGGGGAAGCAGGCTCCCTGCTGAGCAGAGAGCCTGATGCGGGGCTCGATCCCAGAACTCTGGGATCATGACCTGAGCCAAAGGCAAAGGCTTTAACCACTGAGCCACCCAGGCACCCCTGGTTCCTTCTCTTTAAAATGGAAGTAAAAATATGAGTGCCTCTTGTCTATAGGGGAATGGGATGGGTGTGGAAAGTCTGAAACTCTCTCAGTAAATTCAGTACCTTGTTTTTTACTGAGGCTCTATCTATTGTGCAAATTACTGTTGTTGCTCATAAATGTATCATATAGTCTCACTACTTAATGGTTAAAGTACTCAGTGTTACAAGATAATTTTTGAAGTCTGTGATCTCTTGGGGCCCTAGAAATCAGTTTAGTCTTTTTTTTTTTTTTACTCTTTTGATAGTGTAAATAACAGCTTAAATTAAGATTTTAAATTAGGTGAGTTGGTCTTTGTGTTCCAAGAGATTTAAAGAATCTATCTTTGTTGTTGGAAAATACAAATTCTAGATTTTTAACAATGACTTATATTGCTATTTTTATTATAATAGTATTTGTTGCTATTTTTATTTTTTATAAAAGCCTGATTTTAATAAATCAGATGATACTGATGTTGTTTTGCATGAATGCATATATTTAATGGTTAAGTGCATTACTGCATTATATGAATATTTTGGCATATTTTATATATATAATTTTGTTGCAGTAACCTGTTGGCTTAAGCAGTTTATCTGTTTTCATTAAGACTTTGCTCTTTTTTACAGTCACTTCAGCATTAATTTTTAAATTAATTTCTTTGTAATCATTTTTTAGGGAACCCATATTGAGATGTCTATCGGAATTATTTTGGGAATTTCAACTATGGCAGGTATTTAATAAGTCATATTATTATTCCATTGTCCATATATTTATAAAATATTTTAGCAGGTTGGATTTAGAAGAGAATGATTTATTTAAATAAGTTTACTCATTGAAATGTCTATTTGTCTACCTAATCCTGTTCTTCACTTTCTTAATGTTGTATATATAGCACTTTTTTCCTGAGAAATTTTAGGTACTTAATGTTAATGAGTAACAATGCTATACTGACTATATTAAAATAAATTTTTCTCTTAATTCAGTGTTACCCCAAAACCTTTGTGCTCTTGTTTCTACTAATTTATTTTCAAATTGTGTAGGAAAATCAAAGAAGGAAATATAAGATTGGCTCTATTACTTTCTTTCCCCTAGTTACCACTCTGTTTTTCATGATGGTGAAACTTCATTTTTCTCTGTGATTTTCTCAAATTTCAGGCTATGCATAAAGATTTACTTTAACTTCCAAATATCCAAATTTCCTTAAATATAATGAAGGATACAGAAAATACTGCATAGTATTGAAACTAAAATGGTTTCCAAATGGCCACCACAACAGAAAAAACCTACTGCTTGATGGAAGGAGAACATTATATCCCAAAAGACTTGTGTTCTATTTTGAAATCTTGAAATTCAGAGCTATGCAATGAGTAACTTTGGCTACACAGCTGTTGTAGTTTCAGAAACTTGTGACTACTTTTCCAGATGAGTGCTTCATTGATGATATAGCGATGTATTATAATGATTTTTCTGACTTCCATGTAACAATTCACTTATCTCACTTTTTTAGCTGCTGCTTTAGGAAATCTTGTGTCAGATTTAGCTGGACTTGGGTAGGTCCATTCATTTATTCATTTGTGCGTGTGTATTCTGACCTTGCTTCTTTCTCTTCCCCATTTTTTAATTGAGAAAGATAAAAAATATGGGACATTTTTTGTGTGTGTTTTTAAACTAAAGTTTTAAATTTAACATTTCTAAATCAGTAGTACTAAATCTTTGGTGTGCATCAAATACAAATGCCTGGGTTATGCCTTGGAACTTGTGTCTCTGGGTTTAGGGACCCGGAATTTGTGTTTAAAATCTTCTCAAGAGATTGATACATGCTAAAAGTTTTTCTAAAACGACTGTAATGTAAGCATTACTGAAGTATTCATATGTATTTTTTTTTTAAGATTTTATTTATTTGTTTGACAGAGAGAGAGAGATCACAAGTAGGCAGAGAGGCAGGCATAGAGAGAGGAGGAAGCAGGCTCCCTGCTGAGCAGAGAGCCTGATGTGGGGCTCGATCCCAGGATCCTGAGATCATGACCTGAGCTGAAGGCAGAGGCTTAACCCACTGAGCCACCCAGGTGCCCCTCATATGTATTTTTGATAGACATTTCCAAAGTGAGACAGAATTAAAACCAAGAGTTAAAATTAAAGAATTAAAACCAAATAAATAGTTAAATTAAAATTAATAAAATAAAATTAAAATTAAATTAAATTTTAAATTAAAACCAAGAACCCCATCATTATTTCACCCCATTCTTCTCCCATTAAGCTCAAAGATAAGAGATATGGCTCAAATATGAGGATACTGACTGGGCATGTTTTTGGGAGAGAGGAACTTTTCAGAAGGAATAATGCCAGAGCATACATGGGTTTGGCCAGTTTTTGCTCTCTTTATTCTGTGTGGCTGGAATGATGAAATAAAGTGAGAATGTCTACTTAGAAAAGGCCAGCTTTCTCTCTTTCTCATTTTACATCCTCTCTTCCAAGCAACACATGGCCTGGGCTGCCTCCTGATCTTGAGGAAGCCTGGAAAGTACAAGTTAGACCAAGTTGGCATTAATTATTGTAATAAACATACTCTCTTTTGCTCAGTCTTTGGCTCTGTTTTTTCCTTCCATGGTTCATGAGAGTGGTAAGTTTTGAGATTTGGATTTGGGCCTACCAGAAGTTTACTTAGCCTTATAATCTAGGAAAAGGTGGCTTCATAAGTGATCTGACCCTGTGTATTAGACTTCTGTACTGGAGTTTAGGGCCAAAGCTACTGTTAAAACACAGAGTTTCTTGTTTTTGGACCAGGGCATAAATTTTATATTTTTCAGATTCCTGACATAAATCTATAATGATATCACCCCTTACATATTCTAATTTCCCCATTTTCAACATTAATGTTAATGTAATGTCACAGCTACTGTGATAGCTTTTTATATATAATAGATCTAAGTGGTCTGATAGATTTTAAGGCCATTTAATTTTAGATTGTATCATTAATTAGTTATTTTTGATTAGAGATAAGATTTTGTTGGGAGTCTTTATATTTAAAAACTATTTCTCCTCTGCCTTTAAAAAATATCATTAAATAACAAATACGTTTCCTTGACTCTTAGGTATACAGTTTTTTTTAGAAGTTAACATATCTGATATTGGGATCCATATTTTTTTTTTCTTACAGTTGATAAAATGAGTTTGTATCCAATAACTGATGGGAAATAAATACTTGAGATTGCCCTGAAAATTCTAGTCTGTTTTTCTTAGTATATCAATCTAATATCATGGTTGGTTTTTTAAAAGATTTTATTTATTTATGTGTGAGAGAGAGAGTGGGCAAGAAAGAGCACGAGCAGGTAAAGGGGCCGAGGGAAAGGGAGAAGCAGACTCCCCAACGAGCAGGGAGCCCCAAGTGGGACCCGATCCCAGAACCCTGGGATTATGACCCAAGCCAAAGGCAGATGCTTAACAACCTGAGCCACCCAGACACCCCCATCTAGTAGCATATGTTAACGTGCTTTGCTTTAAATTTGGAGTGCATGACTATGATTTTATTGCAAGTTTTTTTTTTATTATACCTTGAAATGATCTTTTAAAATAAGAGAGAGGGGTGCCTGGGTGGCTCAGTCAGTTAAGGATTTTTTTTTTTTTAGATTTTATTTATTTATCTGACACAGAGAGAGAGTGCCCTCACAATCAGGGAGAGCCACAGAGGTAAAGAGAGAAGCAGGCTCTCTGCTGAGCAGGGAGCCCCATGCAGGGCTCAGACCCAGGACCCTGGGATCATGACCTGAGCCTAAGGCAGACAGTTAACCAACTGATCCACCCAGGCGCCCCAAGCATCTGAACCTTGATTTCAGCTCAGATCATGATATCTGGGTCGTGAGATTGAGCCTTGTGTCAGGCTGTGCATTGGGTGTGAAACCTGCTTGAGATTCTGTCTTCCTCTCCCTTGGCCCCTCTCCTACCTTCCCAACCTCCTTGCTTGCTCTCTCTCAAAAAAATAAATAAAACAAAATAAAATAAGAGAGAGTATTTGCTCTAAGTCAATTAGTTTATCTATGTATGAAAATATTAATATTAAAATATTTTTAAACTGTATATTTATGCACAATAAAAATGGAAATTGTAAATAAGCATTTATACCATTTCTAAAGTGCCAGTTACAGGTGTAAAATTATCTTGTTTCTTTTTGTAGCAATTTGTTTATTATCTGAGGACTTTTGTGTGTCTCTTTAAAAACTTATATTCTGTCCTTGTGTTTTTTTAAAGACTTGCAGGCTATGTTGAAGCTTTGGCTTCCAGATTAGGCCTATCAATTCCTGATCTTACACCAAAGCAAGTGGACATGTGGCAAACACGTGTTAGTACACATTTTGTAAGTACTGTATATGGTTTATGATAATGCATTCAGGTAGCCAGAACAAGATACTGTATAATTCAGTCCTTTTGAGAAATTTGAGACTAAATTGATTTGAGTGGAGTTTTTAGAAAAATTGTCTAAACTTTGGCAGTTTTCAGAAGAACAATAATTTTTTATTGTCTATTTTTTGTAGGTATACTTGATTTTTAGAATATTCTTTATATGATTCAGTTAATGTTAAGGAGTATCTGTCATATAGTAGAGACTGAAGGACATAAAATGAATATAAATTAAAGTTATTTTTAAGAATTGTTTACGTGAAGAACCGGACATGTAAACAAACTATAATTTAGTGTGACATATGCAGTTAGAGAATTATGCACTAGATATAGCAATAGCACAAGTAAGAGAATTAATACGTTGTGGGGAGAAATTTCTTTTGGTGGGAAGATTTCTTGGTGAAAATTGGATCTCAGCTGATTTTTGTGTTATTGATGGGATGTTTACTAGGTGAACAAGAGAATCTGAGTACATTGACTCGGAGGTAGAAAGACATGATAAAAATGGGGTATGTTCAGAGAAATAAAAGAAATTAGGGTATTGCTGGACTATAAAATGTAGTAGTTGAAGAGTGAAGCAGCAGTAGGAAATAGCACTGGAGAAGTAAGAATGGATCAGACAGGAAAGACATTGTATAAGCTCTACTAAGGAGCTTGAACCTCATACCTAGGTGATGGCATTCTAGCGAAGACTTTTAAATAGGAAGGAAACTAGGTGGATCACAATGCCACCAATTAAGTCAAGAAGGAAAAGAGGAAGGACAAGTTATTAAGGGAACGTTATGAGTTCTGTTTTCAATTCGATAAAGTTGAATTTGAGATGCTTATAGGACATTCAAATGGTAATACCTGGTAGGCATTTGGATTAAAAGTGAAGAGTTAGAGAGGTCTGAATTAGAGATGATGAGTATTATTAATCATTCAACAAAATTAATTGTTTACCTGCTGTATGCATAGTACATATGTAGGAGTTTTGAATATATTGGTTAACAAAACAAGATCTTTTTTTCTGGTGGGTCTGACATTCTAGCAGTGGAGAGAAGATAATAAAAAAATCTGATAAATAAAATGCTTAATGTACTAGAAATTCACAAATTTTAAAGGAATTAAAGAAAAAAAGAAAACAGAGTAGGGTAAAAGAGGTTGGGAGTGCTGCTATGGAGACAGCTTGCAGGATTAAATAGGAGGGTCTGCAGGCCTCACTGAAAAGGTGATAGTTAAAACCACGGGAGAAAGTGAGATTTTATAGTACGGTGCTTCTCAAAGTGTAATGTCAGCAGGGCCAACACTACTTGGAAACTTGTTAGAAATGCAAATCTCGGGCTCCACATTAGACTTAACTATTTCTTTGTAAAAATCATACAAAAGTGTCCATATACTGCAATTCGTAGATAAATTGAAGTGAGATTAGCTAGCTAATATCTGCCAGAGTTGTTGAGGAATCAGGATATTCTAACATTCTAGCAATTTGGCTTAACATTTTAGCACTACAATTAGGATCAAGAGAAGATTATTTTCCTAGGCTTTCTTCTCGCATAGTTGATAATTCTGTTTTCTTTCTGTATTATAAGCAGTTCCATTCCCCTCTCCTATTATATGAGTACATCAGTTACTAAGCTAGTGTGTGTGTGTGTGTGTGTGTATATTTGTATTTTGATAAATCTTCCACCAGCATATGAAGTGATTTTATTTCTTAGTCATTGACTCTGCTTCTTTTATGTTAAGATGAAATCTACTCTGTAACGTAAAATTCAATTAGCAAATAGCCTGAAGTAATTTAAGTTAGTGATCAACAGTCTATTCATGACTTAAGCTAACTCTGAAACTGACCCATAATGGAACATATGCAAATACACAGGCAGGTTCCTATTGACATAGGTTGTATTTTAAAAGCTCATTTATAATTTGGCTATTTGAAACTCAGAAAATATTTTCTTGCAGAACCATATTATGACTGTACTTAAGTTCTTAGGTTAGCCCCAAAGTAGTTAATTATAAGGCCTAGGCTATCATAAGACCTGATAATAATATATAAGTAACTGATTTTTCAGTGGAAAGATGTTTCAGGTTCTGAATCAGGGTATCCCACTTCTTTCCTCCCTTTCTTCCCTATTGACTTTATGACCCATTGAGATAATTGGGTTGAAACTCATTAACTGGCAATCCTAAAGTAAGTAGGGAGGTAGAGAAGAAAGCCTTGGTTTCCCTGGACAGTAGTAACAATGGGTGAGAAGTAGAAGCGGCAGCGGACATTTCGTGTATGTAGGAAAGTCAGGAATCCATAATAAGATAGTCTCTCTCTGTGTGTATATATAAATAAATATAAATGAATACAAACTTAAAGGTCAAGATAAGGATCTAGGATAAACTTTTTCAGCATCTGGAATGAAGAAAACGTCTGTTTATTAAAACTCCGTAGGAGTGATACTTTTCAAAGTTTGACATGATGAAGATGACAAATCTGACTGTTAATATAAAGCAGGGACATACTGCCACCACCCTCTCTACCACCACAGCCAAAACCCAAAAATAACAGAGTTGAAAATTTTTATGCAAGCTGTTGTTGAAACACTAATGTCTAATCTTGAAATTGATTAGAAAACCTGTAGGATCTGATAGATAAATGGAAAATGTATAGGAAATATATTTTATTCAAGACCATTGATCATGTAGCTAGCCATCATAGCACCAGTAGTACTTGATAGAACTTGTTTTGTTTATTTGCTTTTCTCTTTGTAACTAACTGGAAGTACCTAGAAGAGAGAGATAGACTGCATCTAATTAGTCTGTGTCTCGGTGTACTTAGCACAGAGTTTGGCACACAGTAGATTTTCAATAAATGTTTATTATGAAGAAATAAAACTTAATTGAAAATGTTTAACCTAGATGATCACCCTAGAAATGCAAATTTAAAAAATTGTTTACAAAAATAAAAATTTTAAAAGTATTCATAGCATAGGTAAGATTGTATAAAAATTGGTGTGTATATATCATATATGTGTATATATCATATATGTGTACATAAACATATACACATACATATACATATATGTTGACCCTTGAACAACTGGAGGTTGGGGCGTCATCCCCTTCATGAGTTGAAATCCACATATAATTTTTGACTTCCCAAACACTTAACTACTAATAGCTTATTGTTAACTGGAAGCTTTATCAATAACATATGTAGTCAATTAACATATTTTATGTTATACATATTATATACAGTATTCTTACAATAAAGTAAGCTAGAGAAAAGAAAATGTTGCTAAAAAATCATGAGGAAAAGAAAATACATTTATAGTACTGCACTGTAAAAACCCACATATAAGTGGACCCACACAGTTCAAACCTGTGTTGATAAAGGGTCAACTGTATTTCAATTGGTATATATGTATTTGCAGTCTTTTTGGTCTAGAATAGACAGCATAGCATTCATTACCCTATGAATATGCACAGATATTCGTATTATTTGATTTTTAAATAAATCATTGGGAAAAACTACACACAGAAATGTTTATTACAATATCACTTATACTGGTGAAAAAGCAGTGACTTTCAATGGTGTAAGGAGAGCTTTAAACATACTATAGGCCATCAATTCAGTGGAATTTAGAAGTTTTCTATTAAGTTTATGAAACAGTTTGAAAAAAAGAGCTTATTATAACGTGTGGCTGTGGGGGGTGAATTGAAGCAGAAAACAAAGCTATGTTTACATAATGATTAGACCTACATATAATTACATATACATGGGGTTAAATATTGAAAAGGAATATATACAAAAAGGAGCAAATCCAAATATATTAAGAGTATTTGGTGAGGTTTTTTCCCCTATCTTCAGAAGTGAAAATATATGTACAATTTCTAAAAGGTATATTTCTACTTGAATATTTCTTTGGAGTTATTTCTTGGCAATTTGAAAAAAAAAAAACTTTTCCTAGTTGCATTGAACTTTAAATATTACTTGTTCTAGAACCTTCTTGTAGCTTATTTTTAAGTTGTTTTTATTTTTTTACTGTAGATTTAATTTTAATTTTTTTTTCATTTTTTTTCTCACCATAAGATATATCCTCCCCAATGTCCACTTAAAGTGTAGTTGACATACAATATTAATTTAGTTTCAGGAGAGCAACATAGTGATTCAACAATTATATATATTACAAAATATCACAATAAGTGTAGTCACCATCCTTCACTATACAAAGTTAGTGTACAACATTTTTTACTATATTTCCTGTGCTGTACTTTTCTTTCTCATGACTTACTTATTTTCTAATTGGAAATTTGTACTCTTATTGCCTTCACCTGTATCACCCATCCCCTCCATCTCCTCCTCTTTGGCATCCACCACTTTGTTTTCTGTATCTGTGAGTCTGTATCTATTTTTTGTTTGTTTTGTTTTTTAGATTCCACATATAAATGAAATCATATGTTATTTGTCTTTTTCTGTCTGACTTATTTCGTTTAGCATAATACCCTCTAGGTCCATCTACATTGTCACAGATGGCAAGATTTCATTCTCTTTTATGGCTGAGTAATACTCCATTTTATGGCTGAGTAATACTCCATTGTCTCTGTGTGTGTGTGTGTGTGTGTGTGTGTGTGCGCGCGCACGCGTGCACATACACGTATATATACACATGCAAGTATACAAATGTATATATGTAGTATACATACATATACATATGTAGTATACATACATATACACACACAAATATGTATACATGCATATACCTATACCTGCACACATGTATATGCATGTGTGTGTGCATGCACACATAAACTACATCTTCTTTATTCATCTATTTATGGACCCTTAGGTTGCTTCCATATCTTGGCCATTGTAAATTATGCTACACTAAATATAGGGTTATTTATATATCTTTTCAAATTAGTGTTTTTATTTTCTTTGGGTAAATACTCAAAAGTGGAATTAGTGGGTCATATGGTATTTTTATTTTTAATTTTTTAGGAACCTTCATTCTGTTTTTGATTTGACTGCGCCAATTTACATTCTGACCAGCAGTGCACAAGGGTTCCCTTTTTTTCCATATCCTCACCAACATTTGTTATTTCTTGTCTTTTTTTTTTTTTTTTAAATTTCAGTCTCGTTAGCCTACAGTGTTAAATTAGCTTCAGGTGTATAATACAGTGATGGAACAATTCTGTTTATTACTCAGTGCTCATCAAGATAAGTGTACTCTTAATCCCCTTCACCTGTTCTACTCACCTCCCATCTGATGACCATCTGTTTGTTCTCCATAGTTAAATGTCTGTTTTCGGTTTGTTTTTCTTTTTTTTCCCCCTTTGTTTTTTCTTAAATTCCACATATGATTGAAATGATATGGTATTTGCCTTTCTCTGACTTATTTCAGTTAGCATGATGTCTTCTAGATCCATCATGTTGTTGCATTCTTTTTTTATGACTGAATACTATTCCTGTGTGTGTGTGTGTGTGTGTGTGTGTGTGTGTGTGTGTGTTTGTGTGTGTGTGTGTGTGTACACGTTTTTATCCATTCACCCATCAGTGGACACTTGGGCTGTTTGCATAGTTTGGCTGTTGTACATAATGCTGCAGTAAACGTAGTGAGGCATATATCCTTTTGAATTAGTGTTTTTGTATTCTTTGGGTGAATACCCAGTAGTGTGATTACTGGATCATATGATAGTTCTATTTTTAATTTTTTGAGGAACCTCCGTACTGTTTTCCATAGTGGCTGCACCAGTTTGTATTCCCACCAACAGTGCATGAGGGTTCCTTTTTCTCCACTTCTTGTTTCTTGTGTTTTTGATTTAGTCATTCTGAAAGGAGTGAGGTGATATCTCATTGTAGTTTTGATTTACATCTCCCTGATGATTAGTAGTATGGAACAGTTTTTCATGTGTTGGCCATCTGTATGTCTTCTTTGGAGAAATGTCTATTCAGGTCCTCTACCCATTTTTAAATCAGATTGTTTCTTGCTGTTAAGTTGTATGAATTCTTTATATATTTTGTATATTAACCCCTTATTGGTTATATCTTTTATAGATATTTTCTCCCATTTAGTAGATTGTTTTGTCATTTGTTGATGGTTTCCTTTGTGCTGCAAAAAGCTTTCAGTTTCAAGTAGTTTCAATTGTGTATTTTTTGCTTTTGTTTTTTCTTGCCTGAGGAGACAGATCCAGAACAATTTTGCTAAGGCTGACGTCCAAGAGATTACTGACTATGTTTTCTTTTAGGATTTTTATGATTTCAGCTCTTACATTTAGATCTTTAATCCATTTTGAGTTTATTATTGTGTATGGTGTAAGAAAGTGGTCCAGTTTCATTCTTTTGCATGTAGCTGTCCAGTTTTCCTAACACCATTTATGAAACTATCTTTTCTCCATGGCATATGCTTGTGTCCTTTGTCATATATGACTTATTTTTACATGTAAGTTACTATGATCAAAAGAAAGGCAATTACAGTTGAGTTTTATGGTACATAGTAATTGTTTATCATAGCTACTTAGGCAAAGATCCTTCTTCCAGGGATAAAATAATTTTCAAAAAATGTCTTCTTTTGTTTCCTTAGGGCAAAGCTGTTGGGGTGACTATTGGCTGCATTCTAGGAATGTTTCCTTTGCTTTTCTTTGGAGGAGGTGAAGAAGATGAAAAACTGGAAAAGAAAAATTAACCCTATTAGAATACCTATAAAAAGATGTAAACTAATGTACCTCAATTACTAAATATGCTGTCACAACATTTAGGAATTAAGACAATAACAGTGTATAGATACGGGATCAAATAATTCAGCATGTATTATGGAAAACACTAACTTATTGTGGCTTGGTTTTCTTAGGACATCTTTTTAAAAAATGTTTAGTATCCATTTTGTGTAAATTGTTGAAATGCTTTTTCATCAATGGCAGTCAACATTTTACCTTTTTCTTTATATATCAAAATATCATTTAAGTTTCAGTCATTGATGTACTGTACTAAGTTGGGGTTTGCATATTTGTTACTTCATGTGTGTGCATGCATGAAAGGATCTTCTGTCGTTGCTGTTGTTCTCTAGTTACAACTCAGCCTTGAGATTTTTGCCACATTACTTAAGATGTGTAATGTAAGTTAAAGGTTTTTTTTTACTCTATTTGGGCAACATCAATTTTGTACTGTTTTACATTGAACATTTACAATCATATAATTTTAGTCATTTTTTAAACTCTTAGTCGTTTCAAGGTAGACACACACTTTAAGTATTTTAAGTATCTATTATTCACTTTAATTTTCTGACCTCAATGTCTCAAGAGCCAGAGGTTAATCAGAATGAGTAATTATGTGATGTCCTTACTACATAAAACCATATATGTTAGTAAGTGTATTATTTTCTGTTGATTTTTTTATCTTTAATTTCTCAATTTTAAATCATTACATGGTAGCTTCTGCTCCAAGAAAATGATGATTTTAGGGTCTTTTATAAATGGGGATTGTGGAATTAGGGTAAAATAAGGGGTTTGACATGACACTTGGAAATTAAGAGGCTAAAAAACTTTTTTAGAGAAAAAGAAAATGGGAACTGTTGAGAAGGCTTATGGTATAAGTGGTAAAGTTGAAGTCATGTTTGGAAGGTTAACGAGATACAAATTCTGTTGTTTGGGATGGATTTCTTTTTCCCCAAAACGTCTTCTCATCTGAATGAATCTGAATACTCCATACTCATAATCCTGATGTCTTATCTTATCACATAAAAGTTTTATTTCTGGATAATTTACTTTGAGGTGAAGACTAAATATTTTATATTTTGCTTTTTGGCTATGAATAGTAATCAAAAGTTATGTGAGGAGAAATCTTTTTTTTTTTTTTTGTCTTTTTTCTTCTTTGGTGATGTTTAAATAATATTCTAGGTTGAAATTGCTAATTTCCAGCCTTGCATATCCGACATATATAGTACAACTATATATGAGTCATAAATTTTATGAGCCCTTAAAGTTTGTTAGCATGTGGTCTTTTATATAAATGCTAAAAAATTACTCTTACTTGTAAGAGTAAACTCATCATGGAGGAGAAAAACTGAAATTAAGGTAACTATTTGTTGCAAAAGAAGGAAAACTTAAGTGGATGGATTTACACTTACCTTAGTTTAAAATTTATTTGCACATATTACTTTGACCTCTTATTTTGAGAAGGGCTGTTTTTCCCCCACAAGGCAATTTGTCATAAATTACCCTCTGTGCACTTCAAAATAGCTTAGAGCTATCCTTTAATCGTAGATTTTTGAGAGAAAAGAAGAAAATAAATTATAATATAAAAATAAATATATAACATTCTTAACTGTGTACAAATAATACAATAGTCTCGTTTGATCAAATTAGAATTACAGAACTTGACTTCTTAAACAGAATCTTGGTCTTTATCTTCCACATAGTACTACATACACACCAAAAAGAATTTTTTAAATTATTTTAGCTGATAGGGTTAGAGTGCTAATTTAAACAACTTTTTTTAATGTCTAAGTGCATTTGTTCCTAACTTATATATTGCCAGTCCTTTCTGTTTTCTAAATACTATTTTGTTGTGGTGCTTATATTTTCTTCTTATTAATTAAATCCCATATCCAGAAATCTTGCCTGTGAGTTTAGAAAGGGCTTTGATTATTGGTTTTCACTTTTTGCTCTTAAAAATAATCCAGTCCTACAGAAGCTTTCAGTTTAGCTGACTGTCTGAAGAATTATTTAAGGTGTCAAAACATAGCATATATAACCTTCATGTTGAAAGATATTTTAATTTGGGGGCATAATATATATTTGAATCATTCAGATAATTAACTCAAAAAATGGAGCCCTTTTGTCCTTATCTAAGGTACACATCTTTTCAAGATCTTATTCTACATGAGTATTGGTGCTTTGCACAAAGTGATTTCTGAAAAATGGTTCCCTTAAAGAGAATGACTTCATAAAACCATAGTTTCATGGTACTTGTCACAAATAACCTTATTTCAGATTGAAACTGGAATCTTATTTCTCATAATAGCTATTTCTTTATTGGAAGCACCATAACTATAGTTAAATACAACATGAGCTACTTTAGTACTGTTCGTTTAAAATTCATGTTGTCTGTGTATCATGATTTATTGACTTGTTGATGCATGTGAATTGAGTACATTTTGTTGCCACTGTATGTTAAATGGTGACCAATGTTTTTACAAAGGAGTTGAAAAAAAACATCTTTTAAGAAATTTGGAATGTGGTTTTGATTTTGAAATTTGAATTTCTTCCTAATCTCTATGGGAAGGCTCTGGTTATTCTGTCACTAAAGGAAATAGAATAAATAAATGGGGATTTTTTTACAGGATTGTAGCAATGTCACTGAGACAGTAAGATGGAGCTATTTACTACCTCCCTGAAATCCATATTGGAGATCCATTACAGATTATGAGAGAAGAATGGTCCTATATTGAGACAATTTGATCTTTAATAGGATGTCAAAAATAACTCTAGAGAGGTTGGCATAAATCACACTGATGGGTCTTTACAGCAGAGATATCCAGGCCTTCTGTAAAATAAATGCCTCATTTACTCCTTTTTTGTAGGAGGGAAATTTTGAAAGTAATGGGAGTTTATCTTTCACACAAAAAGTTTATGTAAACCATTTTGAAGTAAATCTTCCTAATTTTAGAATTTTATTTTCTTCCTATCTGAAAAGAATGTATTAAATAGAATGTCGTTTTTTTCTTAGTGGCTAAGCACCATCCCCATGGACATTATTATTATGCTGTAAGGCAGTACCTCAGGAAAACTTCCATTTTCCTCCCATCCTTTTACTCTGAGCTTTTGGCAATGGCCTTCTCTCTCTAACTTGCCACTTCTCAGCTATATGGACTTAGCAACTAGATAGCCAGTCTTACCAGGAATTTTTTGGGAAATATTAGGCTGTGGAACCTCAGTGAGATGATGATGGTGGTAATGATGATAATAATGTTAGCTTCCTTTTATTAAGCACTTTCTTGCTGTCATGTAAGTATTTTACACACTTCATCACATTTAATCACTTTAATGACGTTAAGTTGGTGCTATTATTGTCCCTATTTTTTACTGGGTAAATTTTATGTGGAAAGTTAGTAGTAGACCCATGAGGTCACTACTAATAAGTGGACTGGAATCCAACTTGATCCAAGTTTAAAGCCTGTGTTACTATGCAGTAGGGCATCAGTTGAATGGACTTTGTAACATCTCTTCTCTGCTTAGGTTCCTTTTTACCTTCAGATTTGTGGAGTTAGTTGTTTTCTTACCAAAAACCAAAGGTACTTAAAATCTCAGTGTTCATTTAAGAAATTCTGTGCATACTACGTGCTCAGAAGTGTTCAAGAAACTGAGTGAACAACCAGAACATTCTCATTCCCCTTAAGTTTATTCTGGGAAGGGGAGACATCAGTCGGGCAAATATACATTTAAATATTTTTTATTGCAGATAGTGATAAGTTCCAGAGACAAATGAAACATGGTAAGGGGCATGGAAAGTACTGGTGTGCATATGAGGGTTTATTTTTATAGAGTGGTCAGGGAAGACCTGAAAGAAGTGAGGACATTAACAATACATGTTATGGAAATCTCAGACATGTGAGGTATGTTTCACTTGGGAATGTATTGTAAAATTTTTTTTGTTTTGCACTATTAAGACTTTCTGGATTAAATCTAAATAATATTTAAATATTAGAATTGATAATCCCTGCATATTTACTGACAGCAGTAGATGGAAATGGCCCTGAAGCCTGGGGAAGCTGCCTGGGAATTCATACTGTATACGGATAACCCATCTGCAAATTATTTAGGGTTTCTCATGTGCTCATCATGAAATCTTACTAACAGATCACATGTTTTTACCAAGGCAATAAATGCTATTGGTATATGAGTTGTAACACTGAAATTGGTTTCTCTTCTTTAACTTTTAGAAATGAAGTACTACTTAAAGCAAGGACATAAAACATTTTAATTTTGAAGCTTCAGGACTTTTAGTGTCTACCGATCTTGTGCTGACAGCAATATGAAGCACATGGTGTTGTGTATTGGTTTTTATAATAAAATGTATGATATCAAACATGCCATTGATGGATTTACGAATGAAAGAAATTTGAGCAAATTCTTTTACTGACACCAGTTAAAAAGAATAAGCATCTGAGAGATTGCATGATTTCCCTGCAACTACAAGTCAAACTTTTTGTTTACAGGAATAGAATGTGAGAGTGGCAACTCAAGAATTAAACTCAAAGGAACTACTTTTGAGGAGAGCTGGGGTGAATCTTCAAAACCTGTTTGATGAAGAAATTTTTTGTGAGAATTGTGAAATTCAGTAAAGATTTGGCATTTGCTAATATGAAAGCTATACATTTGTGTAGTGCTTTACTATTTATAAAATAGTTAGCAGATGCTAGATATACATGGAGTTTAAGAGAGTTAGTTGAAAAAAAATTGAGGGTACTTTAATTAGAATAACAATTTTTCTCTCCTGCATGTCAACCCCACCATCACCATTCTTGCACAACAGTGGTTATTCTATATCTCTTTACCGTAGGTCTCAAGTGCATTTTTCTTCCTTATTTTCTCTTCTTTTCCCCAACCTCGGGCTAAAGGAAATGCAGTTTTTAGAATATATATAATGTCCCATGCTGTTGGGAGGAGAAAAAGACAATTTTTAGTTCATTTTATGGTTAACAGTTTTAACTGTTCTTTCTTCCATACTAATTCATGCTCACATTTCATAAAAAGGAAAAGATTTGACTGTGCTTCAAATGTCAGTACCACAAAGAATGGGATTTCATCCAACTTGTTCATTTCTCTGTCTGTAATGCATTACATAGTGCCTGAAACATGGTGGGTGTACAGTAGATTTGTTTAATGGGTCAAACAGATAGCCAAATGCTTGATGGGAAATACACTATGTATGTATCTTCTGTTCTGCTGGTTATCAAGAAAACAAATATTTGGTTTGGCATGATTTATTCTTAATGAACTTGTGTTGGGGGGCAATGGTGATAATTTTATTTTCTCTTTAATCTGTACTAATTTTTCCCTTGAGGATTAGTATCAAATATATTAGTCCACAATATCTAGAACCCATAGGCACTCCTCTTTTTTCTGAGGAGGGCATTATTTACCCAACTCTGAGCTTGGTACTCTTCCTGATCTTCTCATTATTTCACAGAGTTCAGCTTTGTAATTGTATTTCAAATTCTTTCAGTATCACAAACCAAATATTTTAAAACTTTTTGACCTCAAGACTCCTTTGAGCTCTGAAAAAAAAATAAAATACTGAGGTCCTCAAAGAGCTTTTGCTTATGAAGGTTATAAAAATATTTACTGCATTAGAAATTAAAACTGACAAATTACAAAAATATTTACAATTTATTTTAAAATAGTAGTAAACCAACTTCATGTTAACATGAATGATACACATTTTATGAAGATAATTTTCTGAAAGTATAATATAGTGAGAGAAGTAGCATTGTAGATCTCTTTAATGTCTGGCTTGCTAGGAGACAGCTGGATTCCCATATTTTTTTTCTGCATTCAATCTGTTTGGTATTTATTTGTTTGACATATATGAAGAAAATTTTGCCTCCCACAGATATATAATTGGAAAAAAGAAGAATATTTTAATAATCTTTTTATATGACTAGATTTATTCTTGGACACTACTAACAATGTACAGGGGGTAATTTCCAAACAGTTCATTGCACTGTGGAATTCAAAGCCATATCAATGAAATTTTGCACTGGGTTACATTAAAACCTATTGGTCTACCTTGCCCTTTGACTGGACATTTTCCAATGCATGATTTTGTAACACCATACATTTGGAAATTATTGA